AAAATACACGGCCCTACAGGGGTTTCACCTTGAACTGTGATCGGACGTGCTTAATCACAGACTAGTTGACCTGCATGGTACGGGTAAAGCAAAAACTCGATATGGCTACCGTCAAGGTCTCCACGAAGGGTAAAAGTAATTGACTTGTAACTTTGTAAACTTTGACTTGGTCACCGCTGAGAGCAGACTAGTACGGAGTAGCGGCTGTTCTTACCTGGTACGCTGACACCGTTAAATCGGACGCTGATCACATGCTCCTTAGCCTCCTGCGGAGTGAACGACACCTGTAAGGAAAATAACTGAGAGATGAAGAAGGGAAATCAATAGAAGTGGACCACCAACAGACCTTGAATTTTGCTTGGCCTTCGGCTTGGACAAAATTTGGAACGTTTCTGTTGTCCACGGAAACGATTATTTCCATATTACCAGCGCCAGCTCGAGCGGCATCTGCAAAAGCAAACAATGAAATTTCGCAAAAGGCCTTCCGCATTGTTGACCTCCGCGATGAGAAAAATTCTGTGATGCCTGCGGGCGTATGCGATGCGGTGACACCAAAAAATCGATACACACCGACACTACTGCCAGACTGCATTGCAGCCGCGCACGTTTTTGCAGAAAGCTCAATCCCCAGCAGTAAACAATTGCAAAGTTAATCCCTTGAAAAACGAGCTTAGCTCCCCATTCGGTGAAACAGCAATTTTTTTATATTTTCTGAGATGAAAGCGGTAATGACAGTCAGAATTTAGTGCAAATTCATCATTAGATGACAACTTCACAGCATGTTTATGTTTATGTCTGTTACATTTCAAGCATTGTAAACAACATACCTATAGCGAATGTGCACGGTTTCCCAACAATCGCTTGATCACAAGGGCTGAGACGAGCCATTCTGGCGTCATAGGCTTTGGCGGTGAACGGAGAGCCAGCGATCGGTTCGCCCATCATCGAAATGTCAACCTGAAGGTGAAAACGATTCTCAAGCTGAATAATGCACTTTCCAGTAGCACTGCCATCCACGGTAGACGGGATCCGTCT